AAATTCTGCACCAAATTTATAATACAAAATAAAATTTAAAAATAATATTTTTATTTTTAGTTTTTTTTATTGTCTTTGGCCCGGCCGGGCAAGCGACCTCGGGCCACTCTGGTAGCCTAGCAAAAAAAATATTTTTTTTATTTAAAATATGGTAAAGAATTTCGATTTGACCCTGAGACAAAAGTTATTCAGTTTTTTTTTTTGCATAACATAGTTTTTTTTAAGGAATTTTTGGATTTTTGTTCTTTTACTAGCCCGAGAAAACGGGGTGTCCTAGGCAGCCCGGCTGGTAGCCTATAAAAAATCTGAAAAAAAAAATGGTTTGTTGAATAATAAACTGAACAACATTTGCCTCGATGTTACATCCAATTTTTTTACCAATTTTAAAATAAAAATATAATACTAAACTTAAATAATAGTAATAAAAATAAAAAATAAATAAAACAATAACAAAATTACTGAATGGGCGAGCACGTTTTTGACACCGCTATCTTTGATATTTTTTTATTTTTTTTTGCGTTAACAAATGTCATGAAAATTTATGTAAATTTATCTTACATAATAGAGAACCTACATATAATGTTTGGAAAATTAATATATTTTTTTATGCCCCGAAATAAAGGGAAAACAAAAAGTGAAAAGAGAAAGAAAACAAATTAGTGAGTGGGCAAGTAAGTTTTGACACCACCATCATTGTCGATTTTTCATTATTTTTTGGCTTAACATAATGCCTTCAAGATTAAGAGGAATATATCTTACATTACAAAGAACTCATAAAAAAAAAAATGATATTTAGGTGTCAAAATAATATTTTGCGCGGTTCAACCCCTTCGCGTTTGGGCCTCGTACGATGACTCGGAACGTCCGAGCGCCCGAATGTTCGGGGGTGAGGTTAGGTGCCTCCGTACGTTTGGTTTGGCAACCCTATATATATAATATAAAAACAAAACTACAAATACAACTTATTGGTGAAGAAGGAATTGGTAAATCAGGTATTGTACATGCATGTGTAGCACATCGAACATGTTCGGCGCCCCACCGAGCAGCCGAACGTGTTCGGTTGCTCGGTCGAGCGCGAACCGAACATGTTTGGCCGAGCGCAAATTAGGAGGCTGTCGAGCGCGTCCTCATGTGTATGTGGTGTGTGGGATGTGTGTGGGGTATCTATGGGGTGTCTGGGGGTGCGTGTGTATGGTGTGTGTGTATGTATGTTTAGGAGTGATGAGTGATGCCCCCAAGGGGCCCCCCAACCCCTATATATATAAAAAATAAAAAAATAAATTAAAAAAAATAAAAATGTACGGGCTCGGTCTATTTTGGGTCACGTTCGGGCTCGGTATCGAGCGTTCGGGTTCGGTCACTGAGCCCGAGCGCGATGCTACACAGGTACATACTATAAAAATATTTTATAAAGCTTGAAAAGACAAACACTGTTAGAAACAACTCTCACTGGAAAAACATCAGGCTTAATTAAATATCAAATTTTACAGAATTTGATAAACTATCATAAACATATATAATATTCATCAATTAAGTTTTAACAACCAAAAAACTATGCAAGAAGTACCTAGATTCAACACATAATTTCTGTTACTATTTATAAACGAACCCAACATGCTAAAAAAATAAATCTTCCTGCAAAAAAAAAAAAATCACTGAAAAAATAAATATTTGATTTGTCATTTTGTAGTTTGGATGCTTTGTGCATGAGATCGTTTTAAATATCACAAACGAGATGCATTCCATTGTATGAAAAAACATATTTTGAATTATAAGTAAAATCATGTAATGATGTAACGTATGCCTTATGGTTTGTATTTAAAATAGTAGTGATATTTAATGAAAATATTCGATTCAAAATAAACCCATAATGAAAAGCAAAATATCATGATGTTAAAATATAAATATAGAAAAAAATATATAATATCATTTCTTACTTTCTCAAACAAAGACTGAACTACAAAATATTGATTTAATAAACAAAATAATATACATGATGTTTTAAAAATTTCATACGTATATTATAATAAAATAATAACGACAATATGAATATACGTAATCCCGGATAATGATATACGCATTGTACTCATTCCAACATACGCATAACATGTAAGTCAAAATCTTAAAAAAATATATAAATATTAATTAAAAAAAAAAATGACGACATAAACCACAGAATGTCACTACCAGATAACATATTCAATCAATATCCATCATATATTGACTTAATATCACATATATAAATAATATGCATACAAAATATAGTGAAAAAAAGACAGAGCAAACAAAAAGTTCAAATATTTACACTTTACACAATTCAATCAATTGACAATATTTAGCCACATTATCGACATTGAATAAAATACATTAGCTATAATATAAAACTAACAACCAGATGTAGTATTTGTTATGTTTCCTTAAGGATAACTATTTTATAAAGTTCTTGTACACAATAATGAAATTATTATAGCAAATATAAAAAATAACTATTAAATTTATACTAATATTGATGCTTAATTTTTATTTATTTAAACTAACATTCACATAATCAACAAATACTTATATTTATTCTATTTCCATTTTCCTTACAGGTCAGACAACGATATTATTAAAAGGAAACGTAACCAAATCGATAAAAACGTCAACAGATTCGAGATACTACAATGAGTACTCTTACAACGATAGAAAGTTGTTGAGATTGGATGAGAAACACTATTAACACTCGACCGAAACCAATTTATTTATCAAGCATGAAGGTATAATTGTATACACATAAGTAAAATAACAAAACAAGGAGATAGTGCTATAAATTTATATTTAAAAAATAAAAAAATATTTAATATCTTAACACTGGATAACATAGTCATTGTATAATTAAAAAATATTGATAGCGCTATAAAATAATATTCAAATACTTAAGAAAAATGATAATTTTACACGTTCAAGAAAACCACTACACTTCAGCAATAAAATCCTACTTATATGTACCAAGATAGGAAGAACAACAACTCATAATTACATGATATTTTTAACAAAAAATATCTACATTTAATGCAAAATACAACCAACGCATATCGCCCATACCAGTAAAGCAAAATACATTGACCCTTGCATACCAATCTCTTTCTTAACAAAGGGAACCATCATCACCACCACCCACAAAAAAAAAAAAAAAAAAAAAAAAAAAATCACAATTTAGGCTATTAGAGTGGCTCGCGACTGGGCAAAAAAAATAAAAAAAATAAAAAAAATTCTTTTTTATTGTAAATTTGGTGAAACATTTCGATGTAACCTTGAGGCAAAAGTTGTTTAGTTTATTTTCTGCGTAACATAAAAA